TAATCGTTGTGCCACTGTTGTACGATGTTTAAGCTAGGAATTACTAACCAGAAGCAGGTAGTCTTCATTTTTCTCGAACGCCGAGGTCATCCGCCAACGGGTTTCGAGAGGTTTAATATCTATCCAAACTGGAGTACAGATGCCTTGACTGAGGTCAGAGACCTTCGTATTTTCGTACCCCAGTGATCGTATTCGGAAATCGGATTCTTTTGGTGTTATGTCCAAACGATCACGTATTATGGTACAGAAATTACAAGTCAGATGCTTTTCTCCCCGTGTAATGGACTCTCCCAGCTTTCGCCGTGACAGTGAGTCGCTGTCACTGTGGTTGCTAGGATACTGTTATCGCCAGTTGCGCAAGTGTGAGCGCGGTGTATTCAGTCAGAAGGTGGCTTCATTCCCCAACATTAGTAGTGCGTACGCTGGCCAGGAAGTACCGAATAAGGTAACAATACACTGGCTGGTTTCAAAATTTCGGGACGCAAGGCGTGCTTACGGGATAACATATCCGGTGATGAAGTTTTGGCAGTTGGTACTCTCCGCAGCGTCGAAGAAACACAATTCGTGTTGTCGCCGAAATCGCTGAGAAGCTTGTATATGCTGTTGTAGCTTGGTTCGCGATCAAATTGGCATATTCTGTATAACCCACATTTCAAGTACACATACACACTGTTTTCAGATGCGTATTTCTTATTCATAAGGCTTATTTGGCCTGTTAAATAATTGGATTCAAATGTATTGTTGTAAGAGTATTAAAATGTGTTCCTTTCTGTTATGTTATATGTTTCCCATCTCTAAAAATAGTTAATATAAAAGACATACGTCTCACAATTTACGATACGAAATTTTATTTTAGGCTCCTCTAAAGCTGTATGCATTCACTTAATGTTAGCAATGCATACGAATCGTTCACCCCTGCAGCTGTTTGAACATGTGACGTATAGACCCATCGGTAAGCGGTTATTTTGTCAAGAAGGGCCGTTTCTGGGTGACGGCTTGGTAAACACGTTGCCGTTGCAACGAATACGCACGCAATAATAGTTACTGTTGTAAACGGGGTGTTTTCTAGGTGGTCCATGCCGGGATGTTATAACCAGGACAGTTGGAGCAGTGAGTTCAGAGTAACCCAGGTCGAGGCGGGGTTGAATACGTCCACCGTGACCCTGCGAGTCGTAGGAGGCGATAAAAAGGGAAGTCACAAATCTGAGACAGTAAAATATTGTCACGAGTCCCAAGGGACACAGACCCGAGAAAGACTGCGCTGGTAAGGGCCAACAGCATATACAAAATACAGACCCATCCTCTCGTTAGAGAGGCCGCCTTACAAAAAGACGACCGTAAGCGACAGAGTAATAAATATCTGGGACTCGACACCAAGACTCACACTGACTGACTGACCGACCGACCGACCGACCGACCGACCGACCGACCGTCATTCGCAATGTGACTTTGACTTTGACAGTGAGTACTATTAGCCAGCGGGCAGCGGCGTGAACGCAGAAACTGAAGGATCTCCATTGTTAAGAGCTGCTACCAAGCAACGACAAGGGAAGACTATAAAAGACAAGGCTTAGCGGGTGCTGTAGTGATTTGTGGAGGTTAGCCATGGCGCTGTAGTTACTTGTACTTACGAGTCGTGTGTATAAGTGGTCAGATCCATTCACCAATCCAAACCCCCTCTGTAGCCACCTCTACATGTGACAGCATTAAGGATTATTGGATGGTGATATAGGTTACCGTTTGTTAGCATTATCATAGATGGATCTAGGTAAGGTCGTGCCATCAGGCTTTTAGAGCTTGCTTTTCACCTCGGAGGTACGAGTTCAATCCCAGGGGACTTACTGTAAGTTTCATGGTCGATGAAGGGGCACTCCGTACTCATCAGACACAGCCTTTTGAAATGTGAGGCAGCGCGTACAACGCAGCGCAGTATCACAGAGTCGGTTTTTTTTTAACTTGGGAGCTTTAACTGTCATTTAGCACTAGGCTGGTCGCAGAATAAGTAAGTTCGCTTTTCGTTTAATCTAACTGGAATGTAGATAGATCCGCTCACCATAAAGTAACTTCCAGACATTATAGAAAAACATCGTGTGAAATGTGTTCCCTCCAGCGTGTTACTTAGGCCGCTTCCGCTCTCAGTGATCACGGGCGTATTTTCTCCGTGCCTGCTTCGCTTGTGACGCAATATACCTAAATCCAGCTAATGAATTATTGACGCAGTGACTCATGGGATATGAGTGTGGTGAGAGTTTTTCGTTTTCACCGTAGGTGACAAGTTTCGCCTGGTGTTGGCCACCACTCTCCGCGAAGACGGCTACCCGGACAGTGGCGACTGGAACCCGATAGACAACGAGGGTTCACGGGCCGACAGCTTCGAGTACGTCATGTATGGCAAGATCTACCGAATTGAGGGCGACGAGTCATCGACTGAGCCGTCGAGTAGACTGTGAGTACATCGCTGTCATAACTTGTAGTAGTGGTTTGTGTCAGGACTGTCCAGTTGATAAGGGGAATATTCGGGCGTATAGGCAGTTAAATACTCGGTGCTGGTAGGAATGTTTAAGATTTTGCCCTTGGGTAGATGTGTCAAGTACCGGATAGGTAGTTCATTGCAAATTTCTGCCCAAGACAGCCTGTGTACTAATATGAAGGAGTGGCTCAAGAATGGCTTGAAGCCCAGCCGAAATCATCTTATGGAATCAGGCAACTGTGACACAGTGGACCACATGCGCTGATAAAAGGGAGATCACTTGTAACAGTAGTGTAATGTATGACTATTTCGTCAAAATATGGCACAAAATTACCATTAATATATTATTTTTGTCATGGACACAGCTATCATTTGAAATTGGACAGTCCTGATATGTGAAACAAGTATAATGGGTCTTGGTGTCGCTAGTGTCTACAGTTCGATAGTTAGGGCACACCAAAGAAACTGGCAACTGCAACGCAACCGCAGTTTCCGAGAAACGTTATCGATTTCAAGCAGGCAACTGATGTCCAGATTAGTGGGCGGGCACTAGGGAAACTTATGTTTGAAGTTGCCCACGTCATATCGAGTGGGTGTGTTCCTCCGACTTAATCCATGATCGTAATTTCTAATTTCGAAAGAACTTAAGCCAGGATCCAGACTCCTTCATCTCGTGAGAAATTCTTTTCCAAGCCCAGTTTATTTTGTTCCGCCTAGCATAGTCTGGGTGGCGTTTGTCATATATACCAGGCTCTTGCTAAGTTAACTGCACAGAGACAAAAATTATCAGCTTCATCAACCTTTCGTGCCATCTAAAGAAGCAAATGGATCACAGATGTATAATTAACACTAGGAAACTACGCGGCAACGCAACTGTGAGAAAACTGGCCTGCTCAGTTGCCTCGGAGTTGAGTTTCTCAGTCTTCCGCGAGTTGCGTTGCCGTTTCTACGTTTTGCGATGCTCCAATCAATTCCACGTGTTCAGTCGAGTGTGATAAAAATTGTCGGAAGCTGCGATTGCCAGTTTCTTTGGTGTGCTCTGCTCTTACATAAGTTTGATTATTCTGTGAGTACTTAATATTTTTAGTGCTAATTAGCAAGTCAAAATGATTTCAGTCGTGTTGCATTTCGAAAATAAGGCTTGCCTTTCACACGTAACACGGGAATGTGACGAACGTTTGGAATATGTAGGTAATCTTCCCGTGGCCTTTACGCGCCCATTACTCACAGTTATGCAAACGCGTTTTGTCCCTCTTGTGGAAAGAGTGGAAGAATGGAGATCGATTTATGAACACTTTCTTAAAACACTGGCAGATACATAGCCCATATAATTTACCCCGTTCTGTCTCTGAAGACATAATTGATGTTCCTGTGAATGTAGACTTATTAAACACACTTGGAGCCCGCGAAGTGAAGTTAGTATAATTTTCTGCATTCTTAATATCTCATCAAATATTGTGTTCCTGGACATTATCCATGATCCTGTTTCATCTGAACCGTTGCCCAGTTTATATATGAAAACAGAACGTATCGGAGACTAAATTCTGTTTCCGTCGTCAGATAAAACCAACTCATTTGGGACCAATCGATAGAGCTAGTCCCTGTCTTCAGACACGTGTACCAGCATCAGGATAGGGTATACAAGCCGGGCACAGCACAAACCGTCGGCGACAGCTAAGATACAACTTTAAAATATTAAAAATTCCACACGTAGAAGGCCTTGAACCAGAGAACTGTCGAGATAGAAATCATCACTGGAGAGACGAAATTTTCCGTATGGTACCAACACAAAAAAAATCTCGCTCAATCTACACTGCACAGAGGTTGTTGTTGTTGGTTTCTTCTTCTTCTTCTGTAATGGGAGTCCAGAAGGAAGAGATGCGTAGGCTGGGTTGACTGATCGGATGGTCTATCAAAAACATGAGGGCGGATTCCTTGTATGTCCTTATCTTGTTAACAGGTTTGTAGAAAATTGCTGGAGTTTCCCCCTAAGTTTTAAGAATATAATTCCAGTACGATCAGATGTGTGGGGTCCCTGTACGGACACCCCTCCCCGTTTCCATCATTCCTGTGGTAATTGTTTTAAATATTTAAGTGCTGTAAACAATTTACTTCATATAACTTCTTTATTAGAGTTAGCAAATGTATAATACGCTTCGGAACGCCACTTCATCAAACGGTAAT